TGTGGTTAATTGTCATGCATGTCTTAAGGCTAGATAGTATATACAGGTTGTAAAGCCATGTAGTATCAGTGGTTAATGTGTCATATGTGCTTTAAAATCAGGTAATATCTATAGTTAATTGTGTCATGTGTACTTTAAAATCAGGTAGTATTTGTGGTTAACTGTGTCATGTGTTCTTTAAGACCAAATAGTATGTATGAGTTGTGATTGCAAACAAGTGGGTACGAATATATGAATAACAGTTGGTGATCGATTGAGCTCTTTGTTCATTTTTTTCCATTACTGCTCTACATAACATTACAAAAATCAAACCTGTCAAAACCCATATTACATATATGAATGCATTATGGTTAACTTGTTTGTATGTAAAATATCAACCAAACCACACCCACAACCAACAACCATCAATGCACCCACAACCCATAACCAACAACCATCAATGCAAAGTCACATCCAACAACCATCAATGCAAAACCACAGTCAACGACCATCAATGCAAAACCACAACCATCAATACAAAGCCACAACCAAAACTACTGTCAACTCCAACCAACCGCTAAAATTGCAAAACCACCCCCATAACCATAATCAGTAGCCAACAGAGACCACCAAATTATACCCACAACCAATAGCCATCAATGTAAAACCACACAGACAAAAAAAAGACCCCACCACAACCATCAATGCAAATTCACAACAAAACCCTATCAACAACCAACATTGCAAAACCACATTTACTGCCTACAGCCAATAGAGACCACCAAACCACACCCACAACAAAAAACCATCAATGCAAAACTACAACCAAAACCACATTCAACCCCAATCACATCCTATATAACCTAACTAATTAACTCAAACTGCAACCCATATAAATCCAACCACGACTATCAAAGAGTAGCAAACCATACCCACAACCAACAACTAACAACCAATATTGCAAAATCACACCCACACCCATTGACAACAGCCAATAGAGACCACCAAACCACGCACACAACCAACGACCATTAATGAAAACCCACAATGAAAACTACAACCAACCCCAACTACACGTAACCCTACCAACCAATATTGCAAAACCACACCCACACACACACTCACGACCACAACCAATAGCCAACAGAGACCACCAAACCACACCCACAACCAACAACCATCAGCACAAAACCACCACCAACCCCAACCACAGCTACATTCCATATAACCCAACCGATTAACTCAAATTGTAGCCCATATAAACCCAACCACAGCTATCAAAGACCAGCATACCACACCCACAACCAATATTGCAAAACTACACCCACACCCATAGCTAACAACTAATAGCCAACAGAGACCACCAAACCACACCCACAGTGAAGACGGCAATGCAAAACCATAGCCAAAAGCACACCCACAACAAATTTGCAACTTCAAATACGGGGGAAAAGCTAAAATCCAACAATCAAACTCTACAATATGAAGAATATACGGGGATATCACAAAGTGCAAATATGGCAAGAGGGAAGATAGATGAGAAGCCAAAACCACATCTATAGAAAAAAACCCTCATGTAACCCTAAACTAGGGGCGTAAACGAGGCTAACATGAGCGAGCTCAAAGCCTATTTGTGTTTGGTTCGTTTTGTTTTTTTTTTTTTTTTTTTTTTTTTTGGTTCGAAACAAACTCGTGTTCAAAATAGCTCGTAAATAGCCAAGTTTGTGTTTGGCTCAATTCAAATTCGAATTAGCTTATGTTCGGCTTGATTTTGAGCTACACTCAAGTTTGTATATTATAATCATTCAAAATTAAAAAATTTATTTTAAAATTTTATTTCATCCCCAGATCATAATTAAGTTTGCTGCTTTTATAGATTAGTGGTAATTTAATCATCTTCATCAATAATAGTTAAAACATTAGTCTCATACTAATCATAGTATCTCTAAATATTTTTGCCAAATTTAGTAATATTATCATTAAATTCTTAAATACGGCGATGAAAATACTAATCTTCATTATACTCTTGGGGGGAGACAAATTGCTATTTTTTCGATGCTCGCTGGTAGTCATCACTATGATGAGGAGGGGAATTGAAACAACAGCCATGGTGTAAATACATACATCATGAAGTTACCATGAATGTTTGAAGAAAAGAAAAAATGATGAACTTTATGCTGATAAGTACATAAATATTGCAAACATTAGGTTTTTCATTATCAAGCACCTACTAACAAGTAATCACAAGTTTTGTCGGATTCAATCTAGTCTAGTCTAATGAAATGCACAAAATTCAGTGCAGTTTGCTGATTTTTGTCTTCTACAATTTACATAAAATAATACTTGGTAGTAACTGAAAACTGATATCTTTGTAGATGAAATTATAATTCAAGATACATTAATAGGATTTGTCATAATAGCATATCTACTCACTGCCATTAGATTTGTAGCAAGTTTTCAAGATATATTCAAATTGAGGCATCTACGCCTCTAGAAAGCCAACAAAAGCTTTAAAAAATCATGGACATTTGTTGAAAGGAAGGAGATGTGTTGCAGTATGGCAAGCCAGAGTTCGAGAGGAGCTAAAGGGGGAAAATTCACAAATAAAAGTGGCCAATCTTGAGGGCTAACAAAACATGTGTTTAAAAGTTAAAGCGCATAACTTAAGCAACACAAAGGTGGAGCTGGTGAGCCTACAATGTTGTTTTTCTCAATTTGTGTCTTATTGTTTTTAGTTTGAGGGTAGGGATTTTGATGAAATAAAATCAGAGAGAGGGAGGGAGGGAGGGAGGGAGGGAGATGTGAAACAACTAAAGGATTGGTGATTATGATAATTATTTTAAGTGGATAAGCCATGCTGGCATATTTAATTCAAGCCCATTTTTTGCTGAATGAATACAAATATTTGGAAGGAGATGTGTTTGTTTGTCCTAGTATATGGATGGAGATAGTATAATCTCTAAAAGGATACATATTAAAAGTAAAATGTTTACAAATACCAGATTCTTTCCAAGGATGGATGAATGTGGGCAGTGAGCTGCTTTTTGGAGGGTTCATTGAGAACGTTGGTGTGATCAGAGGGGTGGGTTGGGGGATAGGTGCGGTATATAGAATCGCGGCATGGAGGCGTTTTGGTTAGGGCTTAGCCATATTGGTGCTGATGAGATGCTTAATGAAAGAACTGAGTGTGGAGCCGAAGTCTTCTTTTCGGTTTCTATGATAGAAAAAATTTATCCCGACTTAGTGAGGGGGTGAGGGACAACTTCACCATGCTAGTTGTTTGAGAAATTAGGAATCACTATTAAGGAAATTAAGCATATAATCGTATACATTGTATTTTATATATATATATATATATAATCGGTATTTGACAGAGGCTCAAATACCGATTCCTTATGCGCTAGGCTCTATGGTTAGAAGCCCACGCCATGTGCTATTATTTGAGGACCATTGCGCTACGAGGATTCGAACCCTTGACCTGAGGGGACTTACAGTATGCCCACCAACCAACAGGCCAAGGCTTGCGCGCGCACGTATATATATATTATTTTTTTTGGGTAAATGAAATCGATAATATTGATTTCCCATGTGCATTTAGGCCCCTTGATGAGAGCCCATGCCATGTGCCTATAATTCCAGAGTCTCTGCGTTACAGTGGGATCGAACCCTTGCTTGAGGGGACTTACAGTGACCTCACCACCAACAGGCCAAGACTTGCGGCTTGATGTATATATGTGTGTGTGTGTGTGTGTGTGTGTGTCCCCTCATGTCAAAGGTTCGGTCTCACCGTGGCGCCGGGGCTCTGGAAATATAGGCAAATGTCGCGGGCTCTCATCATAGGGCCTAAATGTGCATGGGAAATTGATATTTGGGCCTCTGCGAATTATCGATTTCCTTGGCCTGTTGGTTGGCATACATACTGTAAGTCCCCTCAGGTCAAGGGATTGAATCCTCGTGGCGCGATGGTTCTCGAATAATAGCACATGGCGCGAGCTTCTAATCACATGGTCTAGCGCATAAGGAATCTTCTCAACCAACCAACATGGTGAAGTTGTCCCTCACCCCCCTCACTAAGTCGGGATTTTTTGTCCCTCGCCCCTCACTAAGTCGGGTTAAAATTTTTCTCAAATACCGATTTCCCATGCGCTGGGCCCCATGATGAGAGTCTGCGCCATGTGCCTAAATATTCGAGAACCCAACGCCATTGGGGATCGAACTCGTGACCTGAGGGGACTTACAACGAACCCAACCAATCAACAGGCCACGGCTTTGGGCACACACACACC